CTCCGCGCAAGGGGGATGATCGCACCACGTTGTGTTAAAATGGTCAAGCACCCTCGAGGCAGTTACACAGTGCTTACAACTGTCTCTGGAAGTGAAAGCACCAGAAAATAAATTAAGTCATACGCAGCTGTCATTCGTGCGGAAGAAAGTAAGCATAAGATGCCGAACACCCTTAGCAGGATGCAGCGCACCCTTTATGCGACTCGCCGAATATCTCACGGCGCTTCGCGCTTGGTGATGTGAGAGTCTGGTCCGGTGAGAACCCGGCGTGCTCCGTCCCGGCTTTGAAGGGATGCGAGGTCAATGGTCTACCGACTACGGCATGCACGACTATGAGTACACCCCCCCCCTCCCCTCGTGGCTTCGAGCGAAGAAATTTCCTGCAAGTTTCCTATCAACTTGTACAGCAGTAGTGGAGAGCTTACAGCAATCAGCGTAGTTACAACCACAAACCACACACCAACTTGCGTGGACCATGCAAACTGGACCATGACATCTTCTCTGTGGTAGATACCAACCCGCAGCTTCCTCAAACTTTGCCAACTCGTCAACAATGTAGCATAGGAGAAGACACACCGCACCTGACATATCGATCGCCAAGCTCACGGTGCTTCGGCGGTAGCGCAAAACGATGCTGACGAAGAATGTCCTTGTACAGACGCTTTACCGCTGAGGCCCGGATGACATGGGATGCCATCGTTACGTGCGTTTGCGTTTGTGCGTGGGGTTGGAGGTTCGACCGCTGTGTGTGAGGGTGAAGTTTGAAGCGCGGTGTAACCTCCGAAAGGCGTTCCGATGGGGGGACCGGTTCTCCTGCGGTGGAATCGAACGAACCAAGTCTCGGTGGGGATCTGGGGGCATTGCAGCAGTTCCGCATGTGTCCGACCGTGCACGCTTCTGATGTCGAATCGAGCTGATTCTGATGTTGACCATGCATACAGCAGCGCCGACTTGCTCCAGTTTCTTGTTTCGTAAAAGTTTGTCGCCACCACACCATCTAGCACAAAAGATCGACAGCCTTTGTACATAATACCATAAAGAATAGTCCATGATACAAGCTAAATCGGTAGAGTTGTGAATCGGTACGAAAAAACGATATATTTTACATCGGCTGCGCAGCAGCCGATATAACGATATTTTCTCCGATATATCGCCGTAGGCGATATATCGGAGAAAATATCGGGCGAGCGCAGCGAGCCGTGATGGGGGCGAGCGAAGCGAGCCCCCCCATCGGCCCCCCCCGGCTGGTGAGGGGGCCTCGCCGGAGGCGCCGCCGGAGGCAGAAAATTTGGTGCATTTTCCTTTCATTTCCCGTCAAAATGGGCCCAAATGCGGCATCAAAAAGGGCTTGACTTCAGCTGCAAACATCGCACGGAATGTAGAAAAAAAAAAAAAAGATTAAGATTGATGTATTGTCGCGTATCCTCAGCAGTACCCTCCTTCGGTCTCTCCCTGTGTCTACTTCCCGGTTGGTTCTGGACATGGTGCTGTTGTCTGCTGTTTCTGCGCTGCTGTGCTGTGTGTGTGTGGCGTACAGGGGCTCCGTACTGCTGCGCATACCCTAAATTTGATTCACGGAGCCCCTAAGAAAACATCGGTCGGAACATCGGCACGAATTTTCGATACCGATATCGATATATATCGGACGATATATATCGTGTACATCGTTCCGATTCACAACTCTATAAATCGGGGTACAGCAGTAGTAGTCTAACTGTAATTGCGCGAAGGCGGTCTCAGTAGATAGAATGCGGCTTTTGGCGCTAATCACTTCATCATGAACTACAACCTGCTCGTGGTGTTCGAAGTTCGTTGCTTGATTTTCTCGTGATTTTGTTTCACATGTTGATGATTACGAGTGGCACTGAACAAGACACCGCTAGATAAAAATGAAAGAGGGGCCAAGTGAACCAAAAGTCATCAAAATAACCCATTCGATAGAGTAGAATGGAAATAGAACCTTGATGGATGCACCGACAAAGTGGCATCATCGCGGCCTAGGTTTGGCACTTCCTACGTCATGCCATTTCTTCTTCGTGCTGTAGCAGAGAGTGCGCGCCACCTTAATTGCAATATGTTCGAGAAGAACCGGAATATCATGACAGGTACGTACATACGAGGTGCTCAATTCCAGGAGAGTTTGGAAAGAAGAGCCCGCAACTGCGAGGTATGTGTGTACGGCTGGCTGAGGTTCGGTATACTACGAAGAAGATGAAAAAACGGGCTGGTTTCTCTTCACCGTTCTGTGTTTTCTTCAGGTTCTTCCGGTGAAATTTTCGGTCTGTTTGGAACGGTCCTGAGAACGCCGTTTGTTTCTGGCGTGTGTGATCCCTTTGTAAACGCATGTTGGATCACTGGGGGGGGGGGACCTCATCTTAACCATATCCCTAAGACGAAGGCTGCGCCCGAGGCCAACTTAGAGTAAAGGTAACCACCCCGTCCGCACCCCATTCATTGGTGTGTGTGTTCTACATCGCGCCCTGACCAACACAATACTTGGCAAAAATATACATAGACTAGACTGTATTTCGTTCGCTCCGGCCCGAGCAAACAAACAGGACGACGACGACGGGCAGCAGCAGTGGTAAGGGTCGTCGTACACCATCAAACAAGGACCGTTCACGCACACAATAAAACCGCCGTGCAGCGAGTGCCCAACGTTGGTCTGCAACGAAAACAAAAACACACACCCATGCACAAAAACCGAACAGAGTTTACTGCCGATTACATACGAATACGGAGAGCACATCAAACACAACACCTATCATGCCACAGAACCGTTTTTTGTTACAACAGGCGTCCTCAGGGCACCTCCGCGAGCAGGGCCGGCAACTGGCAACTGACCACCCCGAAAGTTCGACTTCATACTACGTCAATAGCGTGGTCTACCACCTAGAACGCCTTGGTACAACGACGCAAGCAAGCCCATACCCTACACAACCTTTGACAGCTTTGACAGCAGGTAATGTAACCAATATAGGCTAAACTTCATTCACCGTGAACAATATATAGTACGTCACTGTGAATTATTTTTACGAGAAGAAACCCCGATGTTCTGCAAACGAGTCGACAAGGCATTTCGGTCCTCGAAACGCGTCACCCCTGCGGGCTGACTTCAAGCATGTTGCATATGAAGGGACAGTGTGAAAAAGAAAGAGCGAGAGAAGTGAGTGCTATCATGCAGTGTCATGTTCGGCTTGCGCGCAAGACATGATCGATGCAAAAAAAAAAAAAGGAAATGGAGGAAACAAAAAAAAAGGATACCACAGAAAAACAACCCCAAATCTTTCTCGACAGGCCCTGCACAACGGTGATGCACTCTACAGCTATAAGAAGAACCATCATAACAGCAGTCTTCCGTCTATTCGCCGCCTACCACTCCCTTCTCCAAACGGTATTCGCACCTACTTTCCTACTTTCAAGAAAAGCAGTAGCTGGAAATCAAAACCCTCTCTACGGGAACGGCATGGGTTCCCCGCGTCAGCTCTCAGGGCTTGCTTCTCCCCGAGGCACCAGTCCCGATCGAGACCGCCCGCTACGTCGCCCCTTACCCTGCCCTTGTCGGACACGAGCATCGCACAAACCCTTGTGGATGTGCCTCCAACGGGTGTCGAAACGAACGGGGCTACTATAGTGTTAAAAGTGTGCTTCTATCGGGGGGACGGCGCGCGTCTCGACCGAGACTCGCGTGTGGACAAGGGAAGCGTCACACCGCCATCAAGGAAAAAGCGCACACACGAATATAATGCCGCCTTTCCCCCCGCGGCCGAAAAAACGCCTCCAGACGACACCGCGGTATCCGATGGACCATTGCAGCTGGCTGTGTGTATCGTGGTCTACGTACTATCAATACTTTGCGGTCGCGTTTCTGCCTGCTCCTCCTCCTCTCCCCAGACGTCGTGCTTCGGCTGGTCATCATCCCCATTCCCATCCCCATCGCCGTTGTTGTCGCCATTGTTGTCGCCGCTGTCCCGATCATTGTCATCCTCCTCTGGCTTCTGACGCTTTGCTGGTGGCTCGGAGGGTCTGCTGATTGTTGATGGCTCGGGGGTTCTGCTGACGAAACCGGGAAGGACCGGGGGGGGGGGGGGGGGG